AATAAAAACAACAATTAAAGTACTAAAACAATATTTAAACTTTTGAATTTTGATCATATTTTGATTTAATGAAACCTTATTTCGGGGGTTTAGAATTCCCTCATTATTGCTGTTAACATTTTCTTTCTTTTTTCACAAGAATGCCCTTAGCTTTTCAGATTTTCTCTTTTCATTGTTACGTTATACTGATACGTATCTTAAACGTATATATATATAATATAAAATATTATATAAACACATTAATAAATTCATATTTTATATATTTTTTTTTCTATTTTTTCATATAACGTATAAAATAAAAATAAAAAAAATATTTTCAGTCTTTCCTGCAATCCTAATTTGTGTTCGTTAGGAAAAAAAAAATTCGTAAGTAACTCGTAATATGAAATAGATGTCACTAAAATGAACCACATTCATATATCCGCAAAATATATTCCATTAATTTATTTTATTTTTACCAACTGCACTGAATACAGAAAGAAAGGTATTTCACATATTTAGTTTTTAGCCGCAGTGTATTTCTCTCCGTTAAGAAAACGTTAGTAAATAAATAATATTGACATAATTTTCTTAAAATTTTATATATAAACTCTAACTGATTGTATTTTTGGCACATATTTAAATATGACCAAAAGTAATAATTAAAGAATCTTTACCTAGAACCTGATTTTACAATTTTCACCTTATCTAAAGAGCTGCAGCATATAGTCTTTCTTGAAATTTAGTATTCGAGCTCTGTTTATCAACGAAAGTAGCCAACAAATTTTTGTTAATCACAATGCGCGTGATTAACTATATGCTGATCACATCCAGTTTTTTTTCTCCTTTTGTATCGCATCTTATATGTAGATCTCATATGTAACATATTTATAGTATGAATAGGAATTTGTATTATACGAAGGTATACTGATTTTAATACAAATATATTCTCATATATTATTTTAGGTATAAATTATTTTTTATATTGTTAAATTGGAAAACTTAACCTTTTGTTTCTTACTGTATAATATTAATATTTTTTGTTATTTATTTTTGTTCTATATATTTTTTTTACAAATAATAGAATATTTTTATAGTACTTGATAAAGTTGTGGATAGTACTTGATAAAGTTGTGAAGTTAAATTTTCACCGAAAAGTACCAGGAATTCGACATATTTGCTACACCAACGAAAGTGTTTCATTCAGTTTCAGCTCAGAATTTAACTTTGATTCTCTTAGAAATCCATTTTTTCACTTTTTAAATTAAAAAAATCTCAAATACTAGAAAATGTGCAAAACGAGCCCTTTTACAAACAAAAAGTGAAAAAAGTAAAAACTTTTCGTAATTCGTTTTGTAAATATTTAGAATTCGATTTTATGGTAGTATGACAAGATATATGTGACCTGTAATAGGGCAAACGATTGCTGTAGGGTTATATGGCAGCTACACAAACCCGTTGCCTTAATTGATCCAATTACAATAAGTTCCGTCCTTGGCAGAAGGAAAACAATTTGTGAATATTTATATTTTATTATTGGATTGATGGACATATCTAAATCAACACAGAATTTTACGCTGTGTAGGAATGTATATACATGTAACAATAAAACATTTTGGGATTCTTATAATAAAATTCAAAGCAGTTAATATTAGAGAGCAGAATTCATAAAACTATTGACAATTTTAATTAAAGAAGAAAGATTCTACTTTTATAGGATTTGAAATTTTTCGTCTTGATGATATTTTTTTACTACTTTTGTGTTTTACCTCGTTATAGTTTTTTTTTATACAATAATTTGTTGTGTGTACAAATAATATGTTCACTTAACCTGAAATATCTCAGGTTGACTTTTGGGATGAAATTATAGGATAAATTATGCTTAAATATACAATAATTTTGTATTATAAAATCCACTATTTGTTTTGATTGTACAACTAAAATATGTGATTTGACAAAAACAAAGAATTTTAGATTTCAGTTTTTTGTTTAACTTAAGACTAAACGCTAACTTAATTACCGTCGCATTCATATAAGAACTTGTAAAAACCTTGTGGTTATTGTTTATGTATTTTATCTATCTTTTACTTAATATCCACCAATTTATGAAAATACTATTTGATATATATTTTATAATTTAATCGCACTAAATGACTTAAGTATATTTCGCCAATAGTATATAATGTATTAGTATATTTAAGTGCCCCCCACAATATTGTATAACACAAAATTAATGTTTAAATTTTGCCCAAATTTTATTAAAAGTACGTATATAACATACATATATAAGACTTTATCGACAACACTTAGAACAAAGATTATGTGGTTAAATACTTAATTACTTTTATAAAATTCTTTTTTTCACATTCATTCATTTTACGAATGTTTTCATATAGGTTTACCATACGAATGTAGGAGAGTGAAAGGTTTTAATTAGGTATCCAATACTGAATAATAATTTTAAAATTTTCACGGTTCTTTATCAGATTATCTTTGCTTTGATCGTAATTTACATTTTCTTCATACGAATGAGTATAAAAATATTCACAAGTTTAACTATTCACTCAATTGGAAACAATTGCATTTAAAATAAGAATATTTTTAATGTAGGAATAGTAGATATGAGAACACTAATAAAATTAAACTAAGTGTTGAAAAAGAAAATTAAAAGAGACTATTTTTCGTAAGCTAAAGTTTTGTGAAACAATTATTTTCCTACTTGAAATAAAAATTTTAACACCATAGAGTGTAAATTGGTTCAATTACTTTAAAATTTTATAAAAGTCTAATGCATTGTACTGCAAGTGAATCCTGTTGGGTTAATGATAATTAAAGAAAAAAAATATATGAACAAAATAAAATTATTCGTTTTCAATTTAATAGGATTTCTTTTCAACAGGAATCGTAACAGTCTGTTGTATTGTCTCATTAACCGGGTATACATAAAAATGTTTTTCTTTTAATTCTAAGTACCTAACAAATTTGTAACAAAGTGTTTATTTTCAAATTAAAACTGAAATAATTCTGTTCTACATATAAAGGATTCTCTAATAAATTTTAAATTAAATAGGTTTAAGCTTTAAGTTCAATTGCAGCTCATATTAAATTGGCTAAAATTCTTAAAAATACGTATTAAATACTATATGTGTAGTATGCAAATTGTTAATAGCTCCACACTTTTTATAATATCCATATTAAGATATTCTCTACTATATAAGGAATACAATATGTAAGGCTATATATGTAATATAAATATATAAATTTGCCTACAATAATGTTCTCTTTTTTCAATATAAACTGCTGCCATTTTATATTTCTCTTCTGTTCTTAAGAGGCTATTATGCATTGTGATTTGTATATATAGAGTGCTTTTACATATAAATATTCTAAATACTCTAAATCAGAGGTAGATACTTTAATATGTCCGCAATGCTTTTATGTACATATGAATATCTATACAACTACATAATTGTATCAAAAATAAAAATTCATTATGTTAGTAGCTACTCTATATACATAGGTACTTTACGTCTTTTCAAAATAATAATAACAATACAATACAAAGTATGATTTATTTGAGATGAAATATTAAATATAACGAGATTATACAAAAATAATATGAAAATAAAAGACTAACGTTTAAGTTAAATTCTATAAAAATTAGAGTGGTCTTTTAAAGGCGTCTGTTTTTTTGAAAATTTCTTTAAATATATGACTGAAATAGAATTTTAGATTAAATAAGAGTAAACTGAGTATGTGATGTTCCACATGCTTATATTAAGTTACTAGAAAAATAAGCTAAAAGTGTGCTATTAAAATTAGAAAAATTATGCCCGTACGTATTTTAAATATTTTCAGTTGAATACTGAACAAATTACGTGAGAACTTTTAAAGTTTTTGCTTATTCTTCTTAGAATTCCAAAACAAAAACACCCGAAATCTTTCATAATGCATATTTTATGTACCCACATGTTATGTAATACTGATTTTTATTTCCTTGAACGAAATTCAAGTTAAGACTTATTTTAAACTCATTTTACTTAGAACCTATTACTATTTTCGATTATGTAGAAGAGCTCGTGAAATGTATTAAGCTTAAAATTATATTAGCAAAATTTATAATTAATAAATATTTTAGAATTCATTAACTTTGATCCTGGTTATTTTTTTAAGAATTATATTCATATAAATATAAAATAATTTTGAAATTTCATTCATCAAAAACTCTTCTATACAAACAAAGTGGGTAGAGACTCAGGAAATATAAATTGATGCAAAAAGGTTAAAAGGAACTGAAGTTTGCTTTTTTCTGTAGTCATGGCTTCTTTATAAATTTTTTTGTATGTAGTGTAGGAAGTCAATTGAAATAAATTTAATTAAAAACTTCTTCGGAATTTGAATTGTCTGATGGTTGTCATATTAATGGTATTTAAATGAAACTGAAATTAATTTTTTGAAAATTTCCACTTAAAGCAACATTTAATAAATAATTATTTTGGGAAAAAGTAACAAAGGATTGCAAATTAAGTAGGTATTTTAGCAATCAATTCTGAGATCTAGAAAAATAACGTAATATACAACTAGTATAACATCTCTGGAATGTTTATAAAAATTTTTTGGAATTTTTGTAGAGTATTAGGTTTTTTTAATTTCAATTTATTTTGATAAAATTTAAATGTAAGAATTACATTTAATTTAAAATTTATAATACAAATATTAAATTAAAAGAATGCAATCCTAAAAGAAAAATTAATTTATCCAAAAAATAAAAAAGCAATCCTAAAAGTATGCAATTAATTTAAATATTTTTATTTACTTAAATTTTCAGAGTTTCGATTAGTCCACCCTTTTCTAAATAATGTTTTTTTTGCACCTATTAATTTTTTAATTCATGCTGAGACATAATTTTCATTTAATGCGCAAAAATGAAAATACAAAAACAAAAAAAAAAGTAATATGTTCATTTTTTTCAACATTCTCTTCTAATGTTTAATGATTTTTCATTTCTTTTTTATTTTCAGATTTTAACAAAAATATTAAATACAGTGACATTAAAGTGATTTCTTCTGTTAATGATTTATGACAAACGTACAACCCCAAAATTAACCGCCGTCAAAAGATAAAAACAAGTAAAACGGAAAGTAAAAAGGAAAACAAAAGAGAAAAATAATTATTCCTCTAAATTTTTTTCATTTATTTTTCTCATATGTTACAATAGATAGATACAAAAATTAAGTATATACATGTATGTATGTATATATTAATAAAATTGGCTGCACATATATAAAATTCATTATAATTAAATGTACATGGTTGTATAAATATATAAATTAATTAATTATATTAATAAGTGTGCGTGTGTCAATTTTGATGTTTATTGTGAAAATTAAGAATAGTCATAATACTCATTTAAACAAACAAACATACGTATGCTCGTGTATCTGTTAAATGCTTTCTTTATTTTGAACTTAGAATACTAAAAAGAAGAAAATAATTTAAGTAAACTATTATATTGAAAAAAAAAAAATAAATTAATAATATAAATGAATAAAAGTTACAGTGAAAGGCAAAAATTACATAAAGAATTTAAATAAAAATTAAAAATAAGAGTAATAATTTAAGTGTAAGAGCATAGCCTTTCGGAACTAACAGTAAACAAAGAAACAATCTGTTAAACGTTAAATAGAAAACGTCTTTTAAAAAAATACTAGAGCAAGGGTTATCCGTGTAAAGTGTGGTATCAAATTTTGTTGTCTAAAGTTGCAGTCGTAAAGTTACGACAACATATTGAGCTGAGAAAAAATATTCATAAAATTTAATAATATACGTACGTTGATCATTATGAATTGAGACCAGCCCATAACTAGGTAAGTAATTTTAATTTTTATCATAGAGCAATGGGAATTATTTACATATACGTACATATTTTTTAATATTAATCAATAAATTTTTATTTTTAATTTTTTATAATAATTAATAATTTTCTTGTATTAAATAACCCTTAGTATATGCAATATAAAGAATGGTTTAAATTTTTTTTTTCTTTGCTTGTTGTATAATATCTTTGGCATTTTATATGAAATATTTGACCGATTATGTAAAAATCGAACTTTTTTTCAATAAAGTTATAATAAAAACTCAACATATTGCGCAAATAAACTTTGAACTCACCTATCATCCTTTCATAATTTTTAATTAATAACAAATCAAGAGCAAATGAAATTTAACCGTTAATAACATTGTTGATAAAAATTTCCATTAGATTCAGTTCGCATTGAATCGAAATCAAAAATATAAACTGCTTCATATTTATTTTTATACCGGTGGTGGAGGAGAAAAGCATATTGCAAAAGAAAAAGCAAAAAAACACGTTCCATAAACAAAACTTAAAAATTAATTGTGTAAAATTTTAATAATTTTTTTTTTTTCAAATAATAAACACTGTTATTTAATTTTGTATAATTGAGTTCATCAACTTTTAAAAAATGGAAATCATTCTTTTTAATTTTTTTAATTATCATTGTAATCAAAGTGAAAATTAACCAGCCATAATGAAATTAAAATAGAAAAAGCGAAGTATAGAAAGGATAAAATGTGAATACATATAAAAATATGTGAGTATGTGAGAAGGTAGAAAGGAAAAACAAAACAAAATGGAAGCAGTGTTGTTAGAATAAAAAAAATTGTATTGAATCGTCTTTTGCATGCTTATTATTCTTACATAGATACATACATATTATGTATGTATGTGTATGCAAAACATACATGTGTATATCAGGGGCGAAGCGAATTTTTTTTAGTTGAGAAAAGAAAATGCAGGGATATTTAAGTGATACTTCCTGTTGGAATTCATAAATTCTTATATAAACAATTAGACTTTATCACAGAAACCCTAAAGAACTCCGATACATAAATTCTACGGCCCTGATTAAGCATAAAAAATATCTAATAAAAAATCATCATAAATAAAGCAAATAGAAAGCTAAATATCCGTTTTTAAATTAATTAGTATAAAAAACAAAGAAATTATAAAAATTTTTGCCTTTAATAATTTACAAAGTGTTTTTGTGTTGGTACAAAATCTGATTCCATAACTTTTTATATTAATTCTATGTTCACAAATATATACTTGTATGTATTTATATATGCTCACACATTTATGTATGTATATCACATACATAAATGTGTGAGCATTAGGGTAATACTTAACGTATTAGACAAAGAAAAGTTCTGTTATGAATCTGAATGTATATGTATGTAAGTATAGATTATACTCGTGCTTAAGTGCATCGACACATAATAATGATTATATTATAATTTTTAATACATAATGCACGCTGAATTGTTGTAGTCGGGTAACTTCCGGTATTTTATATTATAATATTAATATTATATACATGTTAATGTGTGGTGATGACAGAGAAAATTTATTTTCTGAATTGTAAGTAATTGCTATAAAGGTTAAATTAATTATGTTCTCATTTTATATTATTTTACAACCTCATAACATTTTATTTAACTTTTTTTCTCATTAAAAGTTTATTATTATGCTAAGGTATATTTTTACATACATATACCTACAGTACTTTTATACTTTTTGAAATTATTAGAAATTAGTGTAAAAATGTTAATAATAAAAATATTATAAAAAAAATATAATAGTAATTAAAGAAAAGGAGAAAATTGCATTTCGATATAATTAGAAATTTTTTTTTATTTTAAAAAATAATTATGAACTTTACTTAAATAAAAAGCAACAATTTTGAATTAAATTTATTTTTACACTTTACTTTTGAATTGAATTCATCACGAATTACTGTAGCACTTTGTCAAACTTTATGGTAACAAGGTTTCGTAAGGTTAAACCCATTCCAAAGATTAAATCAAAATTGGTTTGCTTATGTTGTAACAAGTATTCTAAAAATAAAATTACAATTTTCTTACGTTTTAAGGGTTTTCCATTCAAATATAAAACAAAATATTTTAAATAAGTGGGTATATAAAAATTATTCCAGTAAAAGGGAAAATTAAAACGATGAAAAAATATTTTGTAATTGAAACACATAAAACGTATTGTGTGTATGTAAAGTGGTGATATTAAGATTCTTTTAGAAAAATAGCAATTATTACAACTACTTGAACAGCTTTCTTTTCTACGAAGTCTAGAATCACATTGAGATAATTTACAAAATGTGTTTCGAATTTCCTATAATTCGAAAATAAAACCTGAGAAAAAATTTAATTAAAAAAGACACGTTTTATAGTTTACTTGTTTACATCTGACCTTTTATGTCCAGGTCTCATAATGACTTACTGTTGCATTTATGCAAACACTTTGTTTTTAGGTTTCTTGAATTTTCACATTTTCGAATTTAAAAAAATTATTTTGCAACATACATTTTCGCCTTAGAATTGCAGAGAAAACCTCTTATATTTTGACTTTTATAAAAAATTGACTAAATTTCTTTGCATTAATTACTTTTTATTACATACATACTTTAAAATACAAAGGTACAAAATCGAGCATAAACTTCATTAGACACAATTGCGAAAAGTAAATATTTTGTGTTTACCCGACAAAAAAAAAGGCGAACCGAACTGGAATAAGTTACGTTAAATTTTAAATTTATAACAAAAAAAAAAAATGTTTTAATTTCCTGGATATTATAAATGAACAACACAGAAAAACGAAATTGAGTTAAAATCTCAATTAAATATCAACAAAAAGAAAAATGAAAAACAAAAAAACAGAAGTAAACTTTCCCATTTTATAATAATCTCTAATCGGAAAATTCAAAAATAGAAAAAGGAAACCTAGAATTCAAATCAAATCTAATAATCTAATAAAGGATGAACCTCAATAGGGATTTTAAGAGAAAATCAAAGGATTATAATGTTATGTTGTTGTTGTTTTTTTGTATTCACTAAAATTGTGAGTTCCTTTTTTTTTATTTTTTAGAAACAAAATTTCTTTTATTTTTCCATTTCATTCCATTTTGTTTTTGTATTTACTTTCATTTTGATATCTGAATGCCAGTATCTTTTTCGTATTTTTTCTCATTTTTTTTGTCTTTTTTTTTTGAAAAAATAATTTGAAAATGTCGTCGACATTTGGATTCCTTTCACTATAAAAAAAAAAAGATTTTTTTTTTCTTTTATTTAATTCAATTTAAACAATTTATGGGTTGTCGAAAAACTTCCTTAACAATTTTAAATATTCCAATCTGTACGAGGTATTTTATCAGTTGATATGACAAAGACCAAGTAGAAAAAAATAAAAAAAAAAAAGAATGAAGATGAAGGGATGAGGAGAATAAAAATGGCAGAAAAATAGAAAATTAAAAAGCAGATTTAAGAAAATAAAATAATAAATATCGAAAAATGAGGGCGAGATAAAAATGTAATCGTAAATCAAATTGTCTAAAAATATATGAGATGTTTTTCATTCTCTTTCTTCACCTTTTTAGATAGATATATTGATAAAGAGAAGAGCAAATTTTGGTTAAGTCTGAAATTATTTCGAATATATAATCAATTTATTATTATTTTAAAATGCATTTATCTTAATATTTTAAGATTAATCTGCTATTAAAATTACATTTTTGATTAAATGGATTTGATCTTAGATTTAACTTTTCGTGAAAGATGTTAATAATTTTCAAGAAATTGTTGTTTATTTTCATATACTAAGAGTGGTTTAATAGAATTTAAATGTATGCTTAATATGGCTGATGTATACAAAAAAAAGATTAAAAAGAATTTCGAAATTAATGCAAATTATATATTTTAATGTACCAGTTTTTGGTATCTGTTTATTCCTATACAATTAACTTTAAACCACTGTATATCTGAAGAATCATTAAAATTTAATTCAATTTTATATGCCGTTTGAGGAATTTGATAAGAGAAACGTAACAAGAAAGAGTAAATTAAGAAATTTCTTTCCCCTAAATACTTGAACTTGTAGGAGTAGTAAGTAGCATATGACGCACTTTAAGCGTATTCAATTGATTAATAGAGTTTTCGTTAAATTCATAGCGATTTTTTGAAGTTTCTAAAGATCGCCTCAATTTCAAAAATTTTCTTTTAAAATTATTGCAAGAAAATCCACAGTACGAGTATATTATTTAATTGACGGACCATTCTAATTCATTTGCATATCAAATTTAATATCGAAAATTTAACAAAATTCATTTTACCGACAAATTTATAATAATAATGCGTTGAAAAGGGTTTTTATTTAAAGAAAACCCGGTTCTATATCAAAATCAGGAGCAAAGAACTTTTCACGTTTCAATAAATTAAGAAATAAACATGAAGCAAAATAATAAGTAAAAAAAAAAAAGAAAACTTATCATTTCCAATGGAAAGAAAAGCAAGATTTTTTTCTCCCCAAGTCTAGAAAAAAATTTTGTTTTTGTGCCGTATTTCAACCGTAGGTACCAAAACTTATGTTTTTTTCCGTTTTTTTTTTCTAACTTCGGACATACAATATTTGCTCTAATTTTTTCCCTATTTTACATATCCTATTTTTCCTCTTCTCATTTTTACATTTTTTTATTATTTTTTTTTATTTTGTAACATTTATAAAAGAAGTCCTTTTGTCAAGGATTTAAAAAAAAAAATTCTTGTTTTTTTTTTTTCTCGTTATTATAGAAAAAAATACCCTCAAGCAATACATTAATGCACAAAACACAGCAGTAGAATGAGTGCGGGCGGGAGAGCAAGAGATAAAGCAAAATACTTAATATACCGCCTCTTACGACCTTTAGGAATAAATAAAGTTTTTTCCTTTCTACCAGTTAATCTTAATGTTTTATATACGAATTTGTATGTATGTATACTTGTGCTTATATATTTTGTTATG